TCATAGCTCGAGAAATCATCTGCAAGCAACTTCTTAAAATATTGAGCTTTTCGTAATATAGTTGAGATATCTGGTACACAGGTGTGAAGAGTAGGATAAGGAGAGTTAGTTGGAAAGTCTAAACAAGCCACAGTCGGACACCCTGCTGATTTTGTTCGCTAATTAAGCGGAGCTGTGAATACGAATTATGTTCGCTTTACAGAAGCTATGCCTAGTCTCGGCAGTGGCCTTATTTGTGCAAAGGCAATAACATGATATGCCGGCATGTTATTGTACATGTCAACATACCATGTTTTCATGGTTGAGGTGAAGCAAAGAGTTGAACTAAGAGATACACTGCTGTGTTGCTTGAAGAGAATACAAATGAGGACTGCTGAGCGAGCATGAATATGATTCCAAGCTAGCAAAAGTGAAACTGGAGGACAAACCTCCGCTGTACGTCGCAGTTCGACACCCAGAATCACCCCCGCGCCACGATGAGGCGGTAGACCATCACGGGGGTTTCTTACAGAAAACATGCAAAAAATAGCAAAAACGCAAAGATGAAAAAGAGTTTAATGAAGGACAAGTGCTAATTCCAATACCAACACGGTGATCGCTAATTCTAGCTACCGTTCAGTTAGTCTTCGGCTATGTTCTAAGTTGATTTTTTAGAGTTACTACATGTTTTATGAAGAATTAGTAAATAAGGATTTTTTTGTTGATTGATTCCTATCGCTAACAAACGCTTTACATTTCGACAAAGTTTAGCATACTCCCATACCGCTAGATGCTAGAAAGATAGCTATGGGAGTTCCGTTTTGGTGAGCACATTTCGAGCTCGGAGGTATGAAGAACTTGGATCGATCGATCTTCGGGAATTATTGGAAGTGACCGACTTCTCTTCAAAAATGTCTGAACTTTGTGTTTCCGAAACATAGAGATAAGAATTTGTTCTATAGTGTGGTATAGAGTACGACTGAGCTCCTTAATATGCGCAGGAAAAAAGTTTCCATTATATTTCGTTCTCACGTTCACCGCTGAGCATAGAACACTACTATGACAATGCTATAAGATTAGCAACCGCGAAAGGGAAGAAAAGTTTATGAAAGTTAAATGAATTAACACTGAAGAAGTCTGATGGGATATTTACAGCAGAAGAAAAAAGAATCGAGAAGTTCAACAATTTAACTTTCCTACTAACGTTCTTGTTCAGTTCTTATTCTTTCTAGTTTTCTTAATCACAGTCTTCTTCAGAGTTTTCGCGCGTACAATAGCTTTGAGGGGTTTAGTCAGTTTCTCCGAGGTAGGAGTGTAAACGAATTTCTCAAGTTGTTGATTGAACAGCACAGCTTGGGCCCAACCAGCGTAAGCTCCAAATTTCTCTTCGTAGAAGTGCACTAAAGATGAGAATGTTAGGCAAAAGGGCAAGAACTCGCTATAAATAAATTAAACCACTCACTAAGTTGGCGATTAAGGTTGTCACTCAAGCTGCAGTCCTTTAATTTTGGCAGAAAGTACTTTTTGGTGATCTAAATGGAGTCTTAATAAGCTTTTGTCAGAAGAGGAGGAAAATTTAACCTCAAACACATGTCGATCGATGGGAACACACTGGTTCTGACCGAGCGACATCAGCGCTACACACTCAGCAACCTAAACAAGATAAACTTCTATTCTGAAGAGTTTCATCAACAATACTATGCTTTACCTTGGGACCCACCCCAGGAAAGTCGCGAAGAGTTTGACGAATCTCATCAGGAGGAAGACTAGGAAGATCATCAAGAGCATTCGAAGGCATCTTGCTTAGCTTTCGGATACTTTCGCTAAAGTGCATCGAATCGGGTTATTCACTTAAATTTCTCAACTCGTTCTTCTTACCTCACATAGTCAGCTCTGTACCCGAACAAATGCTGGCGCAACACAGCTGTCAACTCTTCCTGAACTGTAACCAGTTGAGATAATGTTGGGAACGCATAGCCCAGCTCAGGAAACTCTTCAAGCAGATCAACATATTGTGACGGTAAATCGAGAACAATCGGATCACCGTAGAGCTTCGCCAGTTTGTTCACCATACCTAAGTTTTCAGGTAACATTTACGCTTCGCGAATATTCTAGATAAGATATGACCAACTGGAGATTCTCGAAATATTGTTATTAGCAGAGCAGATGAATGCAATCAATGTTTCAAATGGCTCCTGTCTAAGTATTCTAATGCCATGTAACTCCTCTCTATTCTTGAGCTCTGTCATTAGTTTGTCACGTGAACACCAATCGTCCCATAATTCAGAAAGAGAGACTTCCAACTGAGAAAATACCTTATTACCTGAAAACCGCAATCAAAATTCAAGTGCCATTACCTGAAGGTATTTGTAAAGCTTTGTTCCAGCATCTGTGTTCACACTTCTAGCAGCGCGACCAAGGCAAGACCATTCAACTCGATCATTATCCAGACGCTTCATATAAAACAGTAAGCCTTCCACAACCCCATAGTAGGAGTCTCCAATATTTCGCCACCTAAGCGTATGTATCCATAGCAGGTACGTTTCTCTAGAAATTTATTGCTTCTTCGTATGATTACGCACTAACCTGAAAGATTGCCCATTCAGAAGCACCGCTTTCAAGTTCAACTCGGACGCTGCTATCTTCAGAACATGCATCCGAAAGGAGTTATGCAGATTTCTCAAAATTATCGATCCAAAGGAAGCAAAAGCAGTACGCTGGTTTTAAAAAATACTTGATACGCTTTCCACTTTAAAACGCCCGATACACAAGCCGTTGTCGCTTAGTTCTTGCAATAAATTTCTAGAGAAACAGTACATCCTGTTCGAGATAAACACCTC